TGATCTAGATGGCCCTCTTATATCATGTCTCAAAAGATGATTCTAACTTTTGAAATAGGTTGATTCTTTGCATTTGGTCAAGTTCTATAGTGTTTACGGATATGAAGGTTCGGATAATTAAGCCATACCGTTCCTAATCAAAAGATTTATATGTTAAACTTGTACCCTATGGAATAGGATAGTTATGATTGGTTTAGAATATTTCATTACTAGGGATGCAAGAACCAAACATATTAAAAAATTATATTATTCAAGAAAAATATTTCAACAAATCATTAACACGAAGGCCAAGAGTGATGATAACATCATGAATCTCTTCACCAATCTCTCTAAGGATCATCTTCAAAGTAAGGTATGACTTATCTCTAAAAATATACTTCAAGTAGTTTGTTTAAGGTAATATCTTTTGGAGAGATTTTAAGATTTTTTTCTTAAAATATCTTAAAAATATTTTTTTTTTTTGTACAAGTGATCAATAAAGTAAAGGAAATTATCGTTAAAAATTTCTCTTTACTCCTCAAAAATCTTTTGACAAAACAAAATTTCTCCAATTATCGTAAGATTTTTTAGGGCTCGACTAAGACCGTTTGAAACCTTGAAACTCTTCGCTAGAAGCCAATCAGAATGTCAACTTTGAGATTTTTGAGGGTGAAGTTTAGAAAAAGTTTGAAGCCTTCAAAATCCTAAAATCGATCCAAGTTTATTTTCTTTATCTACATATTTTTTAGGGCTTTATTTTAAAATCAATTCAAAAGTTATGCTAGTTTACTATATAGATGTTGATATATTGATTGACTTCTAATATAGAAAAATTGATGAAAGAAGTGTGACTTTGGTCTCTCACCATGATTGCCTAACTAAGAGCTCGATCATCTAACTTGGTGCTAATTCAGGAGATTGGTATTGGTAATCCTTTCTTATTATTGGCAATCCCTTACTTCATAATCACCTAAAAAATACATATAACATAATTTTGCTAAATATAATCCCTTAATTATTAATAATACCCTTATTTTCTATAATTTTTGAATTATCATTACTTCATACAACTTATTTCATTCGTCAATTAATCATCCTCGTAAGTGTTAATATCGGAACCCTGATCGTATCCCCTTCAATTATTTTCGACGATTAAAAGAAGAAAAAAAGAAAAGAGTAAGAAAATAATATTATATAAACGAGGGATACTTTAGAATATTAAAAGAATAAGATTGATAATTAAAGGATTATAAATAATAAAATTATGTTTTATTATTTTTTGCGAATCATCAATAGCAATGTCGTCAATAACCAATAACAAGCTTCGTAATAAAAGAGAAGCTAAACTATACCTCACGCATAAGATGCTATTGGTCGGAAGTCGGATCTATAACATAGGAATAAATGAATTGGGAAAAATATATGACAGGTCCTTTCTGGGTTACTAAATCATATTTTGATGTGGAAAACTTATAAAGATTGGATCTCTAAGTGTAAAGAGAGTTTATTTAATTTATAAAAATAAAAATGAAGAAAAAAAAAAGATTGTTTATCAATAAAGAGAGTTTATTTGTGGATACTATAATAATAGTATATCTCATCCGACCAATGATACGATTATATTATACGAGATATCACATGTGTCAGTCTAGCAACAACGACACTTGGAAGGTCAGAGTGGCGCAGAAAACGTCCTTCTTCGACTTGGTGACGGTGGTAATGATAGTTTATCGGACGGTTCAGGCAGGCCTTTGTCAGGGGACGGACGCATCAGATGACGTAGGTTGATAATTTACACCTTCATGACTCGTCCTCCGGTAACCATCGTTCAGCGTCCCATTCCTAATCTGTCATTGGGTCACACATTGTTTCTGTGGGGACTAGGAAGAGAAATTGGTGTCTTGTGGGACCACTCCACGTTGCAAGGACAAACCCATAAAAGCTAGTGGAACCCACCCCTCCCCCTCTGGGCCTCGACGCAACGTTCGATGATTGCTCCTGACGCCATCTCCGTTGCGTCCTTCAATTTCACAGTATCATATGATTAAGGCTGAAGAAGGAGGAGTTTCTCTCGAGTCATTCTTGTAAGCACTTGGATGACAATGAAAAGACGAGGGATTGCATTAGGCATGCGTTATTTTATGTACACTCAACCATCAAACAAATAGAAAAACCAATAACAAACCTTTCCCGCAACCAAGTATACCGGTGACTGCAGCAGATATCTTAGCCACCACAGCATCCTTTTCCGGAAGCACTCCACCCTGGGTCGGACTGCTGCCAAGAACTATCTACTAGCGGGCGGCGGCTCGGCCGCCACTCTGTAGTACAGTGCGGAGCTGAGCTGCTCTTGCGTGTACTCCCTGCTCGACATCTTCACCGTGGCCTGTTGGATCATGAGGTCCTTCACCACCGACACACTCGCGTAGTAGACATCGAGATTGAGATCTTTCAATGCCGACATCAGCATCGCGGTTGGGTGATTCGTATTCTGGCATTGCAACCGAATCATCGCCTCCGAATCCAGCATCTTCACTTCCATCTCCACGCCGTAGCATCGGCCGTTGCCGTTCGTGGTCTCGCCTAGATGAGGCGAGCGGGCGGGGGGGGATTGGCGATCCTTCCTGAGGGCTTCGACCTGGGCTTCCAGGCCCTCCTTCTCGGATTCCAGTGACTGGAGCTTGACGCGGAGCTCGTTGATGTAGGTCGTGGCGTCGCCGAGGAGGGAGGCTTTGTCCATCTTGGACACGTTGGGGACGACCGAGCGAAGGGCGTAGAACCTCTGGTTGAGCTTCTCGCGACGCTGCCGCTCGGCCTCAACGTGGTTGAGCGGCTCCTCGCGGCCGTTGGCAGGCTTGCGGCCGCGCTTCCGCGGGCGCTTTTCCGGGTCTGTCAGCAGGCTGCTCCCCATTTTCCGCATCGAGCGCTCCGTGTCGGAATGGTCCGAGTCGGCCCCCTCAAGGAAGTCGCCGATGCTGCCGCCACCAGGGGAACACTTCATTAGCGCGATGGACGAGGGTCGGGCCGGAGCCGACGAGAACACAAGCTTCGCCTCGTCGTTGCTTCTCGGCATAGACATGGCTCCAGTAGAGCTGTTGTTCATGTTGTCGTCGGGCACCGCGGCAGCGATCTGGTGGCTGGAGAACAGGTTGCTGGCGACAATTGCAGCAGAGGAGTTCCTCTTGCTACCGATGAAGTTTCCGTTCTCGTCGGACTCGGGTTTGACGGATTGGAGCGGGGCGGCAGGGCCAGTGTGCAATAACTCCGAGAAATTGAGCTCCCTAGCGAAGAAAGGTTGGGTCTGGGAGTCGTTGCCGCTGCTGCTCTGATGCTGCTGTCGCTGTTGGTGTCTTTGGCCGTTGGATTGCTGGATCTGGAACGGACTAGGGTTCTCCCTTAAGGTACGCGAGCTATGGTTGCTATCGAAGTGGATCAAGGGCTTTGAGGCGGAAATCTCGACTGAAGCAGAGTTGGGCAAAACGAAGTCCCTAATCTCGACCAAGGAGGGATCTGCGAACCAGAGCTCCGACGGATCGATCTCGCCCTGATTGACCGGAGTCGACGCCGCCAGCGACAGTGGCGAGAGAACGGATCCGGCGGCGGCGTTGGCTAGCGGCATCTGGAGGGAGTTCAAATCGAAGAGGATCCGGATCTTGCTCGTGATCTCGGAGCTGTGGCTGATGAGCTGCGTCGATCCGAGCTCGAGCACGCCGGGGCTGACGGGGACGTAGACCATTGTCTGGATCCCGAAGACCGTCGCCTGGCGCGCGCGGTCACAGGGCGCCACCGCGAGACGATCAGCGCCGGCGAGCCAGGAGGGATCACCGGAGAAGAGGGCCTGGCCGGGGAGACCGGAGCCATTGACAAAAGACTGTGTCATGGACACCAGGAAGAACCACTCGCTGTCGGTGACCTCATCCTCCGCCGCCTCGTTCGCCGACGACGAACGTTCATCGCCGTCAATGAGCGAGTTGAGCTCCCGGAGCACCCGCTTGCGGCGAACCTGCTCCGCGGCTGACGCGGCGCTCGCCGCCGCCGGCTGCTGCTTCCGCTTGTCCTCCTCGCAGCCCTTGTAGCAGCCATCGGCCCAAACCAGGAGCGATTCCCCGGTATCGGTGTCCACCGACGACTGCCAGAGGATGACGTATGTCCAGCTATCCCTCACCCCCTCGATCAGTGCCTGCAGCCGCTCATGCAGCATCTCCTTGTCGAGGTGCGGCGCCGGTACCGGTGCCGTCGCCGTGGCGGAAAAAGACCTCGACACATCGGAAGGCGTCACGGGGGCCGGCGGCCGAGGAGGAGGAGAAACGACCGCCCAAGGGCATCCCTGAAGGTCGGCGGCGGTGGCGATGAGGGCCTCCATCATGGAAGCGCTGTCGTCGGCGCACAGGTTCATTCCCGCGGCTGTGCTCGGACTCCACCACATCCACTGTGTCCGCCAGGGTCCGCTCACGAAGCGCTCGTTATGGCTTCCTCAGGTCCCGGCGCGGGGGGTTTGCAGGGGAAAGGAGGCGACGGGGAAGGGGAGTGAAGCGGGCAAATGAACGGCGACGCTTCTTTCGTTGGAGGTTCGATGTGGAGCTGAATTGGGTCCCCTTTTATACCTCCCAATTTCACTGCTTCGATTTCTGTCTTTTAGCTCCCACGCGGATTCTGTCAACCGACGGCTTTCGCGATGCCTGGCGACGTGCTTTGAGATTACCGAACCGACCATGATGGGACACTAGGTGGCTAGAAGAACGGCATGCCGCCGTTAAACCCCGCTCTTAATGGCTAATCCAGTATTATAACTTGTAGACATTAGATGTTCCTTTCTATCATTGTCACTGATTGCGTGGATTTCGTTTAGCCGATGACAGCAGCCGCCACATGGCAGGCGACCGTGACGTACCCGAATGGGACCGATGAGGCCGCAAAGAGGAATCAAAAGGACGAAATGATTAGGAAACATTAATCATCCATTCCCCTCCTCACACGGTAAGTGTTCCTTCGATTGCAAATATACATATATTTCCGATAGCATTGGATTTGATGTATTCCAGTTTGGTGCCAAATGACAACGCGTTGGTCTATGTTTCTTCTTTCGAAATTGTCCCTTTCAATTTAACTTTCGTTCATAATAATATATTAACAATGTTTATTTCTTAAGTTATTTGGGTTACTACCTGTACATATTGTAGATTTAAAAGTAATAGTTGAGGTTGTTGTTATCATGTAATGTTTAATTGCTTAATGGTTCAACTTGTAAGTGAATTAGGATTATGTCTTGTACTTCTACTCAACCAAAGTCCGAAGAAGGAGACTTGGTACATGGTAGTATGAAAGCGAACAAGAGAAGGAACAAATAACCTTTTAACGTTGTCAACCATTGGGTACCCAAACTGAGTTCGATCGAGTTTTGGCTAACAACATCAACAATGGATACGACTTGAATTTAATTATGTTGTAAGTGTTTCCAGTTCTAGTTGTCGTCTATACACACAATGGATGTAGCTATTGCTGGTTTTTTTGGCAAATATATAGTAATAATTTTTTATATTGTCTAAATAATAATCTGTGTCTCCTTTCTTTCACCTAGTTTACATTTTATTCATCTCTCTCTCTCTCTCTCTCTCTCTCTCTCTCTCTTCACTTCGAGATACTTTCAAAGAGCACCTCTTAAGACGTAATTATCCATGTGATTTAGTATATGTCACGATTTAAATTGATCGAATAATTGACTCATTAATTTAATGTATATCCAAATGTCTGAACATAAATTAATAATATAATACAGTACTTAATTTAGATTTTCCTCACTTCCAATAAACCCAAATTTGTCATAATTCAATACAACATGTTTAAGCCTAAATTACTAGCAATAGATGTGTTTGTTGGACTAAACTCGGAAAGTACGATATCAATATCAGTTTTGAATATCTACTATATTTTTAAGTTATATACATGTTTCATTAGATATCACTAGACATCCAAAAGACATAATGATGTGAATAATAACATAATTGTCTATTAAATATTTAAAAAGGAAACTAGACCTTTGTACTTCACAAGCCATAATCCACAATAACTAGATACTAAGAAGAGTTGGTTGGGTTTAGTTGACTTTTGGTGGTAGATCCTAGTCTAATTAGTCACTCATGACTTTGGACAATAAAATTGATTAACTAACCAATTGGTCCTTGATTGGGATTTCAATATCGTTTTGTACTCATCTGTTGATCATTTATTTCACTTGTCTTATATTGTATTTTATATATGATAATATTCATATTTTAAAGAATATATAAACTATTGTAAAGTTAAAATAAAATTTAATATTTGGATACATCGTAAAAATATGTATTAAAATCTTCCATTCATACATGAAAAGAAACTAATATCATAATCATCCACCTAATCAAACTTTGGTTCCATATTCACTTACTCTAGACTTATAAGACTAATCAATTTTTACTTTCTTAAGACTTAAGAAAAGGCCATTATTACATTCTTCTAATTCTTCCTTCTCATATTGGTGTTTATTTTTTTCTTTAGATATTCCTAAAATAGGTTTCTCCCAAATATATTTTTTATCTTATATGACTCACAAATATGATTAATGGCATACATCAATGAGTTTCTCAAGACCTTTATATATATATATATATATATATCATTAGATCTCCAGGTAATATATTATTTTTTCTTCTATCAAATTACAGATGCGATCTTATCTTAAGGAAGAGTAGAAATGAATTGATCTCTAAGTAGTTACTCATCAAAGTCGTTGCACAAGGAAAGAATAGGCATAAGGGCCACCATTGTTGACCCTTTACTTTATTAGAGTTGTCACTAGTAGCTCTTACATAAGGAAAGAGGGGGAATGAGGGCTATCGCTAACCCTATGCTTGTTATCGCTAATCCTATGCTCTGTTATCACCCTCTTTTTGATCTTATTTATTACTCGTGGCCCACACATAAGGACGGAAGGGCTACAAAGCCCATCGTTATCGTCTCTTGCATGAGAGCTACAGTGAATCTAATAAGGCAAATGACAACAGTAAAATAGAGGGATGACAATAGCCCCTGCTCCTTCTCCTTTCTCATTCAAGGATTATGAACAGTGACTCTAACGAGGCAAAGGGTGACGACAGAACAGATGATCAACGACGACCCTCGTGTCCCCTTCTTCTTAGTGCGAGGGCTATAAGCAAATAGCTTCAATGAGGTAAGAGGAGTTATTATAGACAATGCTATTGGACAATGACGATGGGTCTAACAAAACAGTAGACTATGACAAAAAAGAAAAAAAAAGATGATAGTGGATAAGTATTATAAATTTTGGTATTTTTTAAAATTATAAGTATGATTTATAAAAAAAAAAAAATTGGCTAATTGATTGAAAATATCCTAAATAAAGATACCCACGCAATGGGAAAAGAAATAAATCATTAAAATGATTTTTAGTCAAATAAAACGATGAATTGTTGTGTCACTAGCCAGGAAACAGCTTTGCCCTTAAATTTTTTTTCCTTTGCCATTGTCTGAAAAGGAAATCGAAGTGACAATTAAATTGATGTCAGAACCATCACATTCGATTGATATGACATCATTTAATCGGTGAGGGAACTGTCCAAGTTCTCGGCCAACATGTAGGAAAACGCAATGTGACCTCCCTCGGTAGAGACCAATATATCTTTACTGTCTCCACTTGCACCACACATCAAACACAAAGGGGTCCTTTTCATAGCTATATGCTATCGAGAGGACTGCTTCGGCTGGTGAAGGAACCACACTCGACTACATACATCCACCCTTTTTCTTTTTTTGTGTGTGTTTTTGGTCTCATTACATCCTGCGCACTGTGATTCACGTGGGGGAATGCATTAGCACGGCGCTACCCATCTTTCCTAGATTCATGCACCTCCATCAACTGGGTTCAATGGGCTCGATGAATTGTTTATTCCCTTACCTGTTCCTCGTACAACTGCTCTATCTCTCCTGGCATCATGCGGAAACAAGCTGAGTTAGCTTCATGCATCCTTATCCCAGGCTCATTCATGCACCTGCAATGGATATGCAGGTTCACTGGCCTCTATGCATCCCTCACCTTTCCTCGTCAAGGTTCATGCATATGCATGAATTATATGGCGTCAGTTCATATGTATTTGGACTTGGGGACATGGATCCAATTCGAACGTTTCACAGGGAAAGAATGTTCTAATGATATATATATATATATATATATATATATATATATATATATATCCAAATTGTTTTCGTTCTATTTTTTCATCCCAACTGCCACTATGTTTTGATTATATTAATTTTTATATTTTTATATAAGATATAGCAGCAAAGAAGAAAGTCATGTCGATTTGACTATTATTTTAAAAACTACTCAAAAAATCATAATCGAACTGAGTTTCGTTTTAATATTTTAAAATTTTTATGCTACTACATAAGTCTTCATGAAAAATTTAAAATAAAATTTAAATATTTTTTTGATTAAATAAAAATAAAAAATATTAAAAATAGAAAACCTATGATAGAATCAACGAATGTTGGTTGATTAAAATTTACAAAATGAAATTTCAAATATTTAATCCACGATAAAAAAAAGATATGATACATCATCATCATCACTAAATCAGTGTCTTTTCCTTACTGTTTAAGGAGTTGGTCGTGGATGTCTGTCGACATGTCACATTTGATGTCAAACAAGGAGGTGTCGATGGAAGGCTAGGATCTGTTTCTAAAAAGGAAACGGGAATCTCAAAAAGTCAATTTGCTGGGGTTCATTGAACTCTCTGCCTATTCGTGTTCTTCGCGTGCCACGTCGCACTCATGCTTCGTACTTTTGTTCCATTGGTCCAACACGGCAGCAGCACGGCTTTCCCCATCGACGTTGTGTCTGCTTGTCCTTCTCTCCTCTTGCAGAATCGGAAACCCATTGGGTCTCCTCACAATTGAGAGAGAGAGACCCATTGGACCTTCCTAGACGTGGTTGGGGACGGTTAATTTTGGAACACATCGGGTCGAGTTGGGGTCCAAATTCAGATTGGATTCAACTTGATAGTTAACATACCAGTGTGTGTGATATTTGATTAACATCTAAAACAATGATCGTAAGGTGATGAATTCACTTACTAAACGTCAAGAGTATTAAAGCCTAATCCAACATACTTTTAGGTGGCATTACCAAACTCATAATTTTTACATTTATAATATTAGCGTGATGAGGGTGTAATAGACCCATTTATTAAAAGTTGAGGGCTTAAAATCATCGTCATTTTCTGATATATTTTTTATAATATACTAACAAGTTTAATTGGTAAAAAAAAAAGACTTTGTTAGATTATCACAAAATCCTCTAGGTTTCATAAAACAATTATTAATCTTTAAACACATTAAGTGAGTTAGTTTAAACTAACAAACTACTATTAATCTATTAAAAATTTAAACATATACCACTTATCACATAATTATAACACGTGGTACTCAAACAATACTTCCTCGGAAAAGACACTCAATAATGCAAAATCACATCGATTGTAAAATAATAATAATAATAATAATAATAATAATAATAATAATAATAATAATTGAACAGATATATCATCATCACTCTGCTAAAGCACCAACAAAAGCATATGGTACTCAAACAATACTCAAACAGTTATTATTATTATTATGTGGTACTCAAACAATACTTCCTTGCAAAAGAAACTCAATAATGCAACATATGGTACTCAAACATATGGTTCAATTATTAATATTATTATTGAAATATGTGGTACTTAAACAATACCGCCTCGCAAAAGAAACTCAA